CGGTTCAACGTCATCGGGTGGGATACCATGTGCTCCGGCGGAGTTGTGCCCTTGTTCTGCAGCAGCAGAGAGTATTGGAACTGTGGGGCCTGTCAGAGGGGCCGAAATGGCTCAACACCACTGACTGCAGGCGAAGGACAGGTGACATGCAAATTGACAGCTTCAGCATATGAGGAGGCAATGCAACAATATTATATCAGCAGCTAACTGTCCAGGCGTCCTGCCTGCGCTCATCGCCTCGCTGAGCTGAGCCCACTTCGCGGTGGCTCGATGGGGAGGTATTTTTAGCCTAGACTGTTCCGCCCGCGCCGTTCGAAGAGGACGCGTATGCTGGTGTCGGATGCAAGCCTAGGGGCGCTGGCCAAGCCAATCACACACAACGCCACCTTGTCGCTGCGAACGCCCAGGGGTCAGGGAACGGCGAATTTGAGCATCTCGCGATCGCATCATTCGCTCAGCTGCGTGTGTCGCGGCAGGGGAAGTGCAGAGTCGCATTATTGAGGACCCATCGCAGGACCCAGCCAAGTACGTCAAGAGTTGCAAGACGTCAAGAAAAAATAGAAGCTCCGCTCGACGTTGTTGAGGCGGGAGGGCAGGCCGTTGCATAGTGCGCTTTGCCATGGCTCATGCAGGGCCCGATAGAGTGAATTGATAGCTGGGCGCCATTTGATTTGGTGGCGGGCTGCGCTCGACGATAACGCAGAGGCTTCACGCCGTCGCTGCTGGGAGCGCTGCGAAGACGCGGAGGGGGCGGATCGGCTGTGATGGGCAGTATCTGGAGAGCTCTGCACGTCTTGGAGTGGCACCGGTGCGTGGGCTAGCCTATACAGTCCCGCCGTGGTGCTCCAGAAGTCGGTGGTTGACCCTTGTAAGTTAGCGCTACAGTAGACGGCAGGTGCGAGGCAGCGCTAGGCTGTCTGGGGCGAGCAACGAGGGAAAAAGGGTCGGTCGCTCCTGCTCAGCCCGCGCTCTCTCCCCAACGCCCAAGCCATCGCCAGAATCCTGCCTCCGTCTCCAGGACAGTCACTCGTTTCACTCTCCGCTGTCGTCCCAAGTGTCGTGCCTGCTTTGCTCTCGACCTCACTCGCGCGGCCGAGTTGACACCACGCACCTGCATCCCGACTTGCCGAGCGACCTCCTTTGCGCAGCCTCGCCGCAGATGCGATAGGCAACCCACACGCTGCTCAGCACATCCGCACACACAATCTCGACAATGGCCTCGCGATTCAATCCCGGCAAGCTGTTCATCCGAACGCGCTTCAACTACGAAAAGGTGCCCGGCCAGGACAGCCAGGCCTCGTCACCGCTGCCGCTCTTCAGCAGCAAGTCATGGGGCAACAAGTACCGCCAGCCCGCCTGGGCCAACCGCCTCCAGCGCCCACGACTCTCGTTCGCGCGTCTCATCACTCTCGCCGTGACGATAGTGCTGCTGGCCTCGATGCTCGGCACGGGTATCTACAGGAGACACAGGTGGAACGCACAGCAACGGACAGGCGATGAGCGGAAACAGTACCATTGGGAACACTACCCTCGGTAAGCATCCAGTCACATCTCAACCCTTCGCACGCTAACTGGTCAGGTTAAATGGCTTCTTCAACGGCGTTCGTACGCTTGTTCCCTACGGCGACTGGGTGTCAGAGCAGGACTTTGTCAAGTACTCGCAAAGCCCCAACCCGGAAGACAACATCAAGCCCAAGTGGCCGCACATGTCCAAGGAGGACAAGGAGCCGCCACTGGAGCTACAGCCATTCGACCCATACAAGTTTGACTCGCCCGAGTACCTCAAGGAGCACGATGAAGTCAAGACCTGCTACCTCGACGAGGAAGAGAAGATTGACCTCCCCGACATCTACGCTTACCCCGGCATCCCTCAAAACATGACTGCGCCCTTCTTCGGTTCATACGAGGAGATTGGCTTTGACGACAAGAAGTGTTTCGAGCGCTTCGGTCGTCTCGGCCCCTACGGCTACTCGTACTCTCGCGACGAGGGCGGCCTTGACATGGACGGCAAGTCTGAGAAGGGCGGTGCCGACAAGCTCTGGAGCTACGAGAAGAAGGTCGACTACCGCAAGGTGAACTGGGCGTCCGCCATGAAGCGATGCCGCGAGAAGAACGCCCACCGCTTCAAGAAGAACATCACCGCCGAAGAGACAGCACCCGCCAAGAAGAAGGTGCCACGCCACGCCTACGTTCTCCGTACCTGGACCGGCTACAAGTACAGCGACTACCAGATTCTCACTCTGCGCGCTATGATCAACGAGCTCGCGCTGAAGTCTGGAGGCGAGTACGATGTACACTTCCTCCTCCACGTCAAGGACGATAGCCTCCCTATCTGGTCCTCGGAAGAGATCTACCAAAAGGTCATCGAAGACAACCTACCCAAAGAGTTCTGGGGCATGGCGACCCTCTGGTCCGAGCAGCAGATGCGCATGTACTACCCAGAGCCGTTCCCCAACAACGTCTACAACCACGCCAAGGCCCCCGTACACTCTGTCTACCGCAGCGCCCACTTCGCAATGCAATGGTTCGCGCAAGCTCGTCCAGAGTACGACTTCTACTGGAACTGGGAGATGGACCTCCGTCTCAGCGGTCACTACTACGAGTTCCACAACAAGATTGGCGAGTGGGCCAAGAAGCAGCCCCGCAAAGGTTTGTGGGAGCGATCGTCTCGCTACTACATTCCTGAGCTTCACGGATCCTGGAAGAACTTCACCGAGATGGTTGAGGAGGAGCTCTACAACAGCGACGAGAAGCCTGTCTGGGGCCCACCCAAATTCGAAAACACCGGCATGCTTCCTAGCCCTCCCGAGACCGAGCCTCCACACTCGTACTCGCAAGACAACTATGAGTGGGGTGTTGGCGAGGATGCCGACATCATCACATTTAACCCAATCTTCGATCCGGCCAAGACCAACTGGGTTTTCCGTGACGATGTCACAGGTTACGATCTCGAGCTCCCGGAACCCCCGCGGAGATGCGCTATCATTACTGTCTCGCGTCTGTCGAAACGGCTATTGGATCTTATGCATCGCGAAACATACCTCATGAAGCACCACATGTTCCCTGAAATGTGGCCTCCAACAGTCGCTTTCCACCACGGTCTGAAGGCCGTCTATGCTGCACACCCCGTGTACTTTGATCACAACTGGCCACTCGAAGCCCTCGATGGCACCTTCAACAAGCCCCCTAAGCCGACCGACAGCGTTTTCGGCTGGGGTGAGCACAACCAGCTCGGCAACAGCTTTTACTACAATGCTGGCTTCTCATCCGAGTGGTGGCGAAGGTGGCTCGGCTCTCGCGAGAACGACAAGGGTGGCCCACAGGAAGAGGAAGCCGGCACCGGCCGGTTATGCATGCGCAACACGCTCTTCCACCCCGTCAAATACGAAAAAGGATCTGAGTGACTTTCCACGCTTCGCAAATATACCCCTTTAATTGCTGGCTTTCTGGGTTTCCTTGTTTGTCGCTCTGTTTGCCGGCGCCGCAGACGTGCTTGTTGATAGATTCTCCTTCCCTCATTTTCTGACTTTCGCATATTCAGCGCTCACTCTCCCATTGTGGCGTTTCAACATCGGGCGGCGTATCACGGCGTTTTTACTTATGAATGAACACACAGTTCTTAGCTTGTCTTTCCATTTCGTCTCTCCGGCATTGCGTACACGAGCACCGGATTGTCTTATTTTTCTCAATGTATACTTACTTCACACGAACAAAAGCGGTGGAAAGTGTAATTGGCCGTACTCAACGGCGTCCGTTCTTTCAGTGGGCTTGTTTGGATCTGAGCGATGGAACCCTATCAAATTGTTGGCAGGCTGGTCTGAGGTCGAGATTGTCTCTTCCTTGCCCAGCTTCACCAGGACGTTTGGAGGTGCCGCATGTGGATATGTGTAGATGACGGGAAACTTGTGCTTGGGTACTTATTCCTATGGTGTAAACCAACCTAAAGCTGGTCACTTGTTGTGGTTGTAGAACTATGAAATGCAATACAGATAATCACATAGTATGGTCCTCATCTCGTGAACTACACTTGTGGGCAGTTACTCACCATTTACCCCGCATATACCTTGATACCTGAACATATTGATCGACCGTGATGACGACGTAGTTGACTTTAAGCTTCATACCCTTATGCAGCTCTCAAGATCGTACATTAGCGTTACCATAACAGAATAATTGAGTCTTTCTCCTCTGGACCCGAGTCTCTTGGCGGACCGAAGCGCACTTTCGCCAGCTAATAGCGCGTCGGATCGTGCCTGCACATCATTGAGTGGTAGAGCGGGGATGATCGACTGGGTTGATAGCGCGTGATAACACAATCAAGTTTTTGTACGAGGATCCTGTGCCATGCTACTGCCAGCGCCGAAAAGACGTGTTTCGATCAATGTCTCGTACGCCATATCTAGCGAGAAGTGTGGTTACGATGCGGCATCGCACGTGCGGTGCCGGCCTAGAGGACGCGTACTCTAGCCTGCCAGACTTCGTTTTCACGTGGCTGGCCCGCACTTGCACTCCCTTAGCCTCAGATAGCAACGACACCATACGACACAGGATGCAGCTTGAGTAGCCGCCTTTAGTAACAACGAGACTGCGAACGCGCAATCGGCTTCAACGAGCTCCACATTCACAGCAGCTGTGAATGACACGCTAGCCGATTAGGCTCAGAAAATCCATGCGGGCTAGAACAACGAGGCCGGCAGCGTGGGCGAGTGAGAGGTCTTGGCGCGTGCTTGATCGTCCTTGGCTCTGCGCGTCGGCCCATCATCGAATTCGGCTCCTGCGCTCGCCATGTAGAAACACGATAACGGGTTGTTGCGACCCTCTCTCCATCGTCTCGTCGGTAAACCTCGTTTGGCCCTTCTGCGATTGCGCTGTTATGCTTCACTTTGGCTACATGCATCTTTTCCCACTATAGCGTCATCGACATTGGATCGACAATACCCCGAACCGCGATAACGAGACGGTAGAACAATGCGCTTCATACCGACAAGGCCCCAGTCACGATGAGACTCCCTGTAGAACTTTGGGTTCTGCTCACGCACTTCCTACATCTCGGCACCTCGCTCCCTCTCGAACGCCGCAGCACACCTTTCCGCTCATTCCGCGGCCTCACGCCCCTGGTCAACTCCTTTTCCAACGGGCATACCTACGCGCACGCGCCGACCAAATACTTTTACGAATCCACATTCAACAGCCACTACGATGGACGTTTCGCATCCTCCGAGGTGCCCTTCCAAGAACGTATATGGCATCTCAGGCTTATGTTGAAGGCGTACACGGACACGATGGAGAGGATTGGAGTACAAACTTGGATAATGCATGGATGTCTGCTGGGATGGTGGTGGGGCAGAAGCTTGATGCCGTGGGATAAAGACTTGGATTTCCTCGTAGAAGAGGACGGCGCACGAGAATTGGGTACATGGTGGAACATGACAATTCATCAGTTCAACGCTCGAGAGCTGGGGCTTGAACTTGCACCAGACAACGAGGAGGGTCAGGTCAAGCAGACAGGAATCCTGCACGGTTTGGAGCACCAGAATGAAGACGCGGAGACGCGCTCGAAGCGCCTCGCCTGGGAAGAAGACATTAGGAAAGAGGGCAAGAAATACCTCCTAGAGGTAAACCCGAACTACACCAACAAATCTACGTCAGACATATACAACCACATCGACATACGCTGGATTGATGTAAACAACGGGCTGTACATCGACATCACGACACTCCACGTCGCACCCGCCTCGGAACAGAATTCCATCGCCAACTCTCCCTACTCCAGCACCCACCCTTCAGCCCACGAATCCGACCCTGACGCCTTCGACGACGAAACATTACTCTATGTCAAAGACACCCACGCCTACCTCAACACCCAAATCTTTCCCCTCCGCCAATCCACCCTCGAGGGCGTAAACGTGAAAGTCCCATATGCGTATGAGGAACTGCTGCTGGAGGAATATGGATCGGATGCTCTGACAGAGGATTGGTACAACGGATATCAGTTCAACAAAAAGACAGGGCAGTGGAAGAAGAAAGGGCCGACGGAAGACCAGAAAGCCTATTTCAGGAGGAAAAGCGGAAAGGACTTGGGGAGATTGAGCAGTACGGGGAGAATTGGGCATGGGTGGAAGGGGCACGGTGCGCTTGAGGGAGCACTGAAGGAGGAGGGTGTACAATTGGACGTTGAGAGGGGGAGGTGGGTCGAGTAGGATAACAAATCCATGTATAAAGATGATTAAGTACAATGTAAGACCCTCCATCTAACCAATCCTCATCGTCTAGAATCCATGTCTACAGCCTTGCCTTTACGCGCGGTTCCTCTTCAAACCCCACTTCCCCAAAACGTATCTCCTCATCTTCTTCCATCTTGACTCTACGCTCCAGCTCATCTACCACCCCATCGATCCGCTTGAACGCCCAACTATGCTCAAACCGTGGATACAACATGGGTCTTTGATCGAACCTGTTATCAGGACTATATCCCGCTGCGTGAACCGCTGGAGTCACAGCCGCCATCTTATGCCTGTTGTTGCCGTAGAAAGTCCAGAACCGCTTTACCAGATCGCCGACTTCCCTTGCACTCTTCCTGTCCTGCCAGTCACACAGCAGACGCTGGAACATGTCGAACGGCCCCAGTCGCTCTTCACTGCGCAGCTTGGCAAAGACGAAAAGCTCTTGGTGCGTCATGCCGTTTTCCTTGTCGTCGCATGAACCGAAACTAGCGGGCTCGAGTTCAGCGCGGGGAATTGCGTCGAGGAACTCGTCTAAGATTGGTAGGGTGAAAGCGGTACGTGCCCAGCGGATGAAGGATCGGAGTTGGATCTTGGAGATACTGCCGATGGGGCTGAGGTCTGCGGAGCTGCAATCGTGCTTTGTTAAGTTGCCCCTGAGGGACTCTTCCACGTTAACGGAGCTCAGAACGAGAAGGCCGCCTCCGCCGGGGCAGCTGCGGATGACGGGCAGAGTGCGGGCGAGATAGTAGGCTGTGGTTGAGCGGATACGTGCTTGCAGGTTTTGGAGTGCTAGGTTCTCCGCTGAAGAGCCTCGGAAATCGGGTGTGAAGCCTGTGTACTGAGGGAGTAGATCTCGCTCGGCTCGGTATACGGTATCGATGGACATGCTGATGTGGTGGGCGCCCATGCCGTCTGCCAGACGCTGAGCTCGTGAACGTGTCTCTTCGGACGAGCATTCTGACATGCCCATGTACACAGTGTGCAGGATGCGGTTGCAAAGCTCTTGAGGTGTCTTGGGCAGCCAATCGTTGGATCCTGTGATGCGCTGGATGTCTGATGCGACCCCATTCCCGTCTTGAAGCGCGTCAAAAACCAGATAGCACATACTCAACACCATCACTGATGTTGAGCACGAGTCGATTCCGCCACTGAGTGGCGCTAGAAAGCCGACACATTCGCTGCGGCGGAGGTAATGCTACACAGATGAAGATACTAAGTCAGCGTATGTCTCGCATCCAGTTCGTACGGTCGCAACTTACCCAGAGATAACAGGCAGGTCCCATGGCGATCTCTTCTTCCAATGTGTGGAAGCTTGGGCCCCGAGCAATCGGGTGGTGGTGATCCGGGCGGAGGCTGGCAAGCTCAAAACGATACAAACTACATTCCACGTCTACACAGGGCGTAGTCAGGTCATCGAGGGGCTCCGAGACTGCTTGTTTCGCCCGATACGATTCAACCTCTTCCAGATCGACGACGGCGGTTACCACCTCGATATCATGGACCGAGAACCTTGGGCCTTGAGAAACTATTTCTCCGTTCACCAAGATCATCGGGCCACCGTCGTAGTAGCTTTGATCGCCATCGCAGCCATGCTGATTCGAGTAGAGGATGACTCCACCAATGTCTTTGCTGACATTCTGCAGTGAAGATACCAAGGAGTCGAAGTTCCCGACACTGAAGTGATTGGCTGCAGAGACCGTCAGGATATCAGCGCTTGTCGAGCTCAAGGCTGTCGGAAGCAAATCTTCGAGTCCAATCAACTCGTCGGATGTAATGGCGCCAACACACGCGCCTGAGGTGGAGAGCAGAGCACTGCCGAAAGGAACCACGCTGGTGCCCTGCATGTCCGCAATGAAGTCTGGTAGGGGAAATGCTTCGGGTGGAATAGTGGGATCCCAAGCGGTAAACCACCTCGACTCATTGTAGTTGCCGTCAGTCATCAGAGTCGTTTTCGGACGTATCGAGACAATTCTGCCGTTGTATGCCATCACTCTGCTGACAGGTTGTAAGCAGGTTATCGGAGCAATGAACTAGTGTACTTACCAGATGTATCGGAGATTGTGATGCTTGATTGGCATACCAATGTCCACCAGCATGTTGTCGCAACACTCATCCGTGAGGATACCAATGAGTGCTTCCCAGCAATTGGCGTATAGTTCGTCCTCGTAGAAGTGATCATGACAGCCGTACCCACAGATCTAGTTTCGTTAGCGGGAACGATGGTAGAGCAAATGTGCTCAACGCCTAATATGTAGGTAGGCTTGTGAAACACAAATTTCCGATGGATAGCATAATTTCGAGGTGTGCATGATCATAGAAGTGTCTCAGGCGTGGAAAAGCATTTGCAAAATGATATAAACAAAACGATAACTTACTTCCAGTTCTGGTCCAGCGCGCAATGTAGCACCCTTGGCTTTCGCTTCGCGGATGCTCTGCTTGATACGGGTAGAATTGCCCTCCCAATCCAGAGCCCACTGAGCAAGCGAGCATGATGCAACGACGATCTGGCGACTCATGATGTGATTGCTTGAGGTGAGTCTCGCAACCGGGAACTTCAATGGAGTCGGTCGGGGTGATCTAGAATTAGTTGAGAAGTTGCAGTGAGCGTGGAAGAAAAGCGAGACTTTGAAGTATGCGCTGAACTCATATAGACGGGAGAAGGAACAAGGTGAATGTAGAATTGTGGATTTCGTTCCGGTGTCGCAATCGAGTCGTGACAATCGCGCAAGCGGCCAACAGAACCACACCGACCATAATCATCTTGGTGAATAGCCATTGTTTATGAATGATAGCGAGCATCCAAGGGATAGTCCAGTTCGTGTTAGTGTAGTGTGATGAACCACGATGCCGATGCAAAGGGATTTCCTTCCAGTCTCCTGCCTGCAGCGGTCGCCAAACCCGAAGGGAACCAGCGGGTACAACCCCATTTGACGGCAACCGAAGAATGGGGCGACGAGGTTTTATTGGATTGTTGGTGGTCTGCAAGGTTTTGGGGTGCTCGCGTAGGTTAAGTCGTAATGTCCAACCTAGGAAAGAGTTGAGGTGTTAGAGACCATGCTTGTCTGAGTAATCCCTTCTCAACCCCCTTTTACAAATCGAGACGGACTGCATGAGAACATTTGGCAGGGGCCATCATATCTTCATGAAATCTGATCTGTAGGATTTGATCGCCGACATCCTTACCGTGAAGTTGGAGAGGTTGCCCTGTCTTATGCACAAGGTACGAATCCAGTCGTGTTGGGAAGGCCGGCATGATGTGTCAGGCGAGAGCTAGACTTCGACACAAATGGAGGATCTGAATGGACTTTTGCTTTTTGCCGACGCGTCCATGGCAATGTTGAGTAATTGGGGATATGCATGTCCATTGCTGTTGCGTTAGTGAGCGGTCGTTGGCCCAGGAGGATTTGCCCGGACCCATTGATTCGATCCGTCGCATCATCTTGGTGGCTGAGTTCATCTTCGCCGTTACAACTCGTATCATACCTAGGTAATGAAGGAAAGTGTGTCCTTCACTTAATTTGACCAGGTTTGAACAAAGACGCATGACGTAATGAAGGACGGGCAGTTGGTCGTTTTCACGGCCAGGTCCTCGTCGGGACCTGCAAGCGGACTAGAGTGAAAGATAACTTGGCGTCATAGGTACGGAGTTTGTCCGCTGGTGCTCAGGACGAACTGCGCGATGTGGAAAGACGAAGCTGGGAGGTCTGGGCATGGTGTTTAGTGGAGTTAAGAGCTCGAAATGCGCTAGCTCGGAGCCGGATCGGAGAACTTAGCATCTCCGATCACCGTCTTCACGACACCAGCATCAACAACACTCGCGTCGGCTGCCTTACATCTAAGACATTGTAAACAGGCGATACCATTGGCTCGATGTACCGGCCCAGTCGTACTACAAAACGGGCCTTTGCCGTATTGAAGATTCCCAATGTCGAAAAACTTCAGATGGTTTTAAAGCGTAAAGTCCGATGACTACACCCGGAATCTCTATGAAGGCTGCAAATGCGTGGCTTGGTTCAAGACGCGGCCCGACTAGGATTACTGATGGATGTGATAGATCAGAGCAGCTCAGAGGTATATAAGTTAGGTGATCATCAACTTTTGTATATCTACCAACATACTATCACTGTCTCATCACTTCCTCAACGACACTCAAATCCAATAACGACATCGTTCACATCCTCACCAAACACCAAACCCCCAAGATGTCCAAGTCTAAAATCGCCGTCTTCGGTGCCACAGGCAACCAAGGCAACTCTGTCGCCCGCACCATCCTCACCGACCCCTCCCTATCAGCCTTGTACAACGTCCGCGCCCTCTCGCGCTCTACCACCTCCCCCAAGATGCAAGAGCTACAGTCTCTCGGTGCGGAGCTGTCCGCAGCCGACATGGACGACCCCACGACGCTCCCATCTGCCCTAGCAGGCTGCACGCACGTCTTCCTCATAACAACAACGCAATACACCGGCTTCACGCGCGAAATCGAAACACGCCAAGCACGCGCCGTATGCAGCGAAGCCATCAAGCAGGGTGTTAAATATATCATCTTCAGCTCCATGTCGCACCCGTTCAAGATCAGTAATGGAAAGTTGAAGAACGTAGAGCACTTTGACGATAAAGCTGAGATCGAAGAGTATATCCGCGGTTTGCCTGTGCAAAGCGCGTTCTTTGCTCCAGCGTCTTTCATGCAGAATTTCGAGGGCATGATGAAGCCACGTCCTTCTCCTGCGAATGATGGGACGTTCGTGTTGGGGGATATCTTGCCGGGCGACACCCCTGTACCGTACATCGACATCACCGAAACGGGGAAATGGGTTGGGGCTATCCTTGCTGAACCAGACAAGTACGCAGGCAAATTCTTTGCTGCAGCAGAGGCGTTGTATACGCCGGACGAGGTCGCCGAGATCATGAGCAAGGTGACGGGGAAGACGGTCAAGCATGTTCAGCTTCCAGATGAGGTAGTCAAGGGATTTTTCCCGGAGACGTTCCGGGAGCAGTTGTATGAGATGTTCGTGTTGAACAGGGAGTATGGGTATTATGGCAAGGGGCAGAAGGAGGCCGTTCAGTGGGCGAAGGAGCAGGTCAAGGGGGAGTTGACGGGGGTGGAGGCGTTCTTGAGAAAGACTGGCTTCAAGTTGGAGTGATGATACAAGATACATGGCGCGGCAGGATGTACTGTAAGGGCGGTATTGGGGGCTGAGAACAATGGATTCATGCTTGAGTAAATCGTTTGCGCCCAGTATAGTATGTCTTGTAGTGCTACACGCTTTTGTACTTCTACCTGTATAGTGATTTTACATACGATACAATACAATGACCCAGAAGTCTACATTACACCCCAAAGTTGCAACTGTATATTTTTTTGCGCGTATGTAGACTGCAACGCACCTCAGTATCCATTGTAACCACCCTGCATGTTGGGATCGGCAGGGTAACCCCACATTGCCATTGAGTCCGGGATGAACAGTGCTGACAGATCTGCGTCCGAGCCTGTGCCTAGATCGAATTGGGTGAAATCGAAGTTGATGTCGAATGGTTGTTGTGCACCAAGACCCATCATATCTGGAGTAGGCTGTGCGTTCATGTTAGGATACCAGTTTGGCATGGCTTGCTGAGAATGCTGCGCGTGGGCCTGTAAAGCGGCCTGAGCTTGTTGTTGAGAACGAGATTGCGCCTGTGCCTGCGCTTGCGTCTGCTGCTGCTGCTGTTGCTGAGAAGCGACATTGTTGCTGCTACCCATTGCGACTTCCGAGAGAAGGTGAAGCGGAGTTTGGTTTGCAGGTGATTGGCGCGTGGAGGGTCGGGAAGTTTGACTGTTGTTTCGGGTGGAGTCGTATTCGGGATCCGTTTGTTGCTCGCCAGCAGCACCCTCTTTGATGTGAGCGAACCGTTCTTGAAGGCGCTTTGCAACGAAGTAGAACTTTCCATGGGGCGATTGAGCATCGCGGGAGACAATGGCATTGAACATGGAGACTAGTTGTTCGGTATAGGCCTCGATCTTGAGATCTTCCTGGCAGATGATACTACCCACTTCGCCGGAGCTAGTGACTGATACCCACATCTTCATGAGGCAAACAATAGCGTAAATGGCTCGTACACCTGGATTGTGTTAGCGCATATATTACGTTGAGATCAGGGCATATTACAGAAAATGACAGGCAGAGTCAGCAGGATGTCAAGTTCAATACTTAGGATCGTGTCTAGGATACCGTGCGTAGCAGTGAGACAATCACCCAGGGCACCTATGTGTGCTGGGCCAGCAGGTACATCTTTTTTGACTCCAGATGGTAGAGAGGGCGACAACGTATCCGAAACAAAAGGGGGTTGTAGATCGGCCGAGCCCTGATTTTGGTGCAGTGCAATCTCATGCAGGTATAGGTTTGTGACGTGTTCTGCCAAGCGAAGGGTTGCTACGACTGTCAGTAGATGCAATGAATCGTGACCGCTACAACCTACGATCAATTTCACCCAGAGAGGAATTCTCCTCCCTGAGTGAGCTGAGCTCGTTCTCAAAAATCTTCAGGGCGTATATGACTTTTGGATCGGAAATGGTAACCTCGACTGAAGGGTCATCCATGCAGAACTCCACTGAGATCTTTTCTCCAATGTGCGCCATCTTGACCTGCTGGCAAAGCAGTCTGTCTGAAGGCAATGCCTCTGGCGAGGTCTCCAGTATGCGAACACTCTCCGCCATGTAGTTAGTCCAGCGGAGCAGAATTGGTCGTCGCAGAACCATTGTGATACTCATGCAGAGATAGTAACACACAAGGAAAGTCCGACGGGCTTCGACACTGCTAGAGTTGGGATGGTACCTCTTGAACGGACCAACCGAAAGTCTCATGACATTTGGAGTTGCCTTCCTTCCGAGACCTAGGTCAAGAGCCATTACGGCAGCGCAATTGACCATCATGTAGAAGTTGTGCTGTTCAAAATGAAGAGGCGGCCGATACCAAAGCACAGATATGTGTAATGCCTGAACAATTTCGAGCGACTTTTCTCCGTTGCGCCAAATGATGTCGGCAAGCTGATCTTTAAGGAGCTTGGTCAACTCGCGTTGCGCCTCTTGCGAGACCAGTTGTTCTGCACTCCCATGCGAAGATCCAGCCAGGACAGCGAGGAAAAGAAGCGGTTTCTTCTCTCGGACTTCACGCGCTGTCGTACCAGGAGGGAAGGGTACGGCAGGGAAATGTGGACAAATCTCGTTCACGTAACGAAGGAAAACCCGCTCCGCGATATCCGGTGTCATGAGGTTGTCGATCAAAGCACTGATGTGTGAATGGTCGGCGTGGATCTTGTTCTTGCTCGTCCGTCGCATTTCCGGGTGCTCTGCTAGATCGCGATGAATAGCATCCATATCCTCGGGGATCGTCTGAAATGTTAGTTTTGGCTTCACATACAATTGAGGCAACTCACAGCGTGCGCATTGTCCATCTTCCTACGCTTTGGCTCGGGCCCTCTCTGCAAGCTCTGTGCCGGACCATAGCCGGCTGGTATGTCTGGGTATCTGGCCGTTGGCGGCTGCGCCCAGTCGTGTTCGACTGTTCCCATACGATATTGACCCTCAACCGGCATGGGTATCGCGTTGGCGCCGGCGCCGGGTTGTGGTATACCTCCATGGTGCCTCATTTCCGGTACTCCCGGCACTCCCGACTTCTGCGCGTGTAGTGTGGCTGTCAATGCATCGATCTTGCGTTCGAGCTCGGCGACTCTACTGTCGGCCTTCTTCTGGCGCTTCCGTGTCGGCGGTGTTGTGATGCAAGGTCGGCCTGCTTTTGCGCAACGTCTGCATGATACATCAGGTCGCTCTTGGTCGCAGCGGACCTTCAGTCCTCGACATGAATCGCATGCTCGTGGGCGCTTGAGGTCGGCAGGAGATTTGCCAGAACCAGGTGTGTCGTGTTCATGCGCGTCGTCGTGGTCGTCGTGGTCGTCGTCATCGTGCTCTGTTCCTGGTGCGGTCGGCGATGTCTGCTCAAGGGCGGGATCGAGTATGTTCCCTAGTGGGGCAGGCTGCGACAGCTGGGCATGGTGTTGAGCGGTCGGAGATGGCAGGTAGTATGGGTGGCCGGTGTTCTGCTGCTGCTGCGGTGCAGACGCGTACTGAGGCCGTGAAGATGGCGCCGAAGACGCGCTCGCAAAAAGTCTAGGATCGAGCAACGGATCGGACATCATGAATCGTCAACCTCGAGGCTTAAGTTCAATGACTGTCGGCGTCGGTAGTATAGTGACCGAACTTCCGCCTGTGGGTAAAGTTGACAGAAACCTCGGCGTTCAGGCGTCAGTGCGTACGCCAAGCCAAACTTGGCCCGTAGCTATTCACTTTTGTTTTTGTCTATCACCTCACACAGCAGAGATAAGTAGGTGCGCTGCGGTCTACATTATCGTAAAGACAAGGGTTTGCAACAGTCGAATGTAATGTAGACTTCTGAGCAAGTAGTTGTTACGATACTACAGAAAGCATGGAGTTAGTTCTGCTCTTCAATGGCATGGTACGAGGCGTCATTGGGAATTACAGCAGTACTTGTGTCGAGGCTCTAGCATAAGCAATCTGTCATACCACGTGTGATCGCATACAATACAAAGTTCGTAAATGTTGTAATGAGTTCATTAAAGAGATAGAGTTCATAACATCATCAATAACATAAAACCATCCCGTTGAGCTCATCCTGAACTGACAGGTGGGATAATAGCAACCTCATCACCTTCGACGATCTGCTTGTTCGCGTCCTCGGCATCATCTTCGCCAACGTCAACGTACTCCATATTGATCGTCATCGCGCAGCTGCTCAGCACCTTGTCACGAATACCCGGGTACCGCTCCTCCAGCATGCCAAAGACATCGCGAGCTCGGACGGGTGCAGGAAGATGTTCGCTCGTCTTGCCCGTGAAGGTGGAGGCTGCTGCGAAGTACAGGATCGAGAATTGGCCCGCAGGCGTTTTGGCGGGTGCCATGCTGCCTGTTGAGACATGTCAGAATTGTGTCGCGACATCGTCAAGTCCTAAGTGGGAACATTGAAAATTCAATCAGGAAAATTTTTGCTCCGCAGTCTGACGCCGAAGCGACGGTCGGATAATACATGCTATAATTTTGAATACATCATGAAAGGGGGTCGAGTGGAAGGAGACGATGTACATACCTTGGGCGAGTGAGGTGTAGGAAAGATGGACGGAGGTGTGCGGAGAAACATGTGAGTTCGCGCGGCCATTAGCGTGTCTGCACAGACCACCACCCGAGCGCGCCTTGCCTCCGCCGCACTTTTTGTGTTGACGACATCATCGACCATTCGCCTCAACATGTATCCTCGACTTCAGCAGGCAGCGGGCCATGTATGCTTGCGGTGTCAATGGCGATTGCTAAGCCAGCGAAATGCCTCTCGACAAATACAACTTTCACGCGGGCTTTCTACTTTGAAAGTTCCGCAAACACCAAGGCGGGCGCTTCATGTCGCTAGCAGTGTAAGTGACTCGCTCAGTATGCCATTCACAAACTGACACATATCAGCGCTCGCAACTATCCTCACATACCGCCACCCCCACACCGCCTCCAGAACCGTCTCTTCTTCCTCGACCTGAGGGCGTTGCAATCCGCGAATACCTCGAACAGTGGCAACAGCAGTTTGGTGGGCCGACCGAGGAAGTACTATCGGCGTTTGAGAATCACCCCGAACGTGAAGACATACAAAATGGCCTGTCGAAGCTGTCGTCTGCGTTCAAGGCCGACGAAGACGCCAGAGAGAATGAGTGGGATGCTGCTGAGGAAGACGAGGGAGAAGAAGTGATTACGATTGGGCTCTTCTTGAAGCCTGGCGACGTAGTGGAACTCTCACAACCGGGTCGTGAACCTGTGCTTGCTGTGTTCGTGCAGCAACTGAACAACGACAGTCAGTTCTTCTCCGTCAACGGCAGATGGACGCATTCGACCATAAGTCGGGTTTCCTTTGCCATCCAAGGTTGCATCGACCCAGCACTTCTCCAGCCGCTCATTCCATTCCTACCCACGGATCCCGGCGCGGCTAATCCCAAGGGTGAGGTTCATGTCCCGCGAGACTTTGCTGCTCCTGTGATAGCGAGTCTTGAGAATATGACTGAAGAAGCCGAGAAGATCTACCGAAAGAATGCTCCAGTCTTGGACACAGCCTATGATATCCTGGCAGACAAAACGAGGACACGTATGATGACACTGACACAAATTGCGAAGTTTCTGCTCGCGCGGGGTTCCCCCGACTGGGTACCACCGCCAGCAGCGCTACTAGCAGTACGAAAGGCCTTGAACCACAACGAATTTCGCTTTCGTTCCGATGGTCGTAACCATCGCCTTACGAACATGTTCGCTATACGACCCAAAACCGATGTCGAGGTCGTAGAAACAGTTCACGAGTGGATCCGAGAATACAGAGAATACCTTGCTCTTTCCGTCAATAGCCCTTCGGAAGCCAAGCGAAGCCGTACTGATGGTGCCACTCATATCATAGACTTCCTGGCAAAGGCCGGCAGGCTTATTTCAGCGAGTCGAAAGTTACGTGAGCCAACCTACGGAGGCCTTGGACCCAGTAAGACTCCAGCGACACAGAACGAGCCCTCTAATCTGCACATCACTTGGGGGGAGCCGTTCACAGGTGCTGACAAGCAGATCATTAATTTCCTACAAGCATGGGTACTGACCGGTCAGTTTACGGGTATGGCTGGTCTCCATGCTGCTTGTGCGAGCTTGATCTCAGCATCAGGTTTCTATGGTTCGGACGTCTTTGGCGATACCGGATCTCCCGACGATACCCTAAGCAACATCAAACGTGCTACTGGATTGTTGTTTTTACAAGAAATTGGCGTCATTTCACCACACGACAATCGATCGATCTATGACGAGCAGCTGATGCTGCCCACTGTTCGTCTGTCTCGTAATCTGGAGTTACTCAACACTAAAGCGGAGCTGACAAGAAGGAATCCTGACTTCCGGGATTCAATGGCGAACCTACGTCGCGACTGGGGTTCGACCACCGTGTATTGCATTGACGATGTCGGCGCCCAGGAGATCGATGATGGCATATCGATTGAACGGGTCAAAGACGCGAGCTCCGAGTTCTGGATCCACGTACACGTCGCAAATCCAACAGCATTCTTCGACAAGACCCACACCCTGTCTGGACTCGCCGCGCACATGACCGAGTCTGTCTATACACCGGAGCGATCTTTCCCGATGCTTCCGACTTGGGCTAGTCAAGGCCACTTTAGTCTTGATCGTGGCCGCCCGGTTATCACCTTTAGTACTCGCATCGACGGAGCCGGCAATAAGCTAGAAACAAAGATCCAGCACGGCTTCATTCAAAATATCGTCAGTATCACACCGTCCGAGTTGGCTACTCTCATGGGTGATCAGAGTACTACGAACACCCGAAGGATTGTTGTCGGCGGAGAGGTGCCGCGTGGATCGGAGCGGCCGCCGCCGAGTGTTTCTCCAAGTCAACTCGAGGAACTGCGTGATCTTTATACTGCAGCTCAAGCCCTATGGGCTGCTCGCAAGGCTGCTGGTGGCGTTCGATTTGGTAGTTCGAACGTCAACGCCCGTGTTTTTGAAAGCGCCACTCAGGGAGGTCTAAGTTGGAACGCTCCCTCTCTGGATAGGGCACGATATATACAAGGAGACCCGATCATCGAGGTGACGAACTCGATACCAGAAGGCTTTATGCAGCTCACCATCGGGCCCAAGAACATCGTTGAAGAAATGATGATGCTTGCGGGTCAAACTGCGGCGGCTTGGTGCACGGAGAGGCATATCCCCGTCATGTACAGAGGCACTATTGAACCACCTAGCGGGGATCTGGATCCAAAAGAGCTACAAAAGCTCGTCCAAGCTCACTACGAAGAGCATGGAAAAGTACGACTCGATCTCACGGCGCGGTGGTTCAAAGCACTTGGCATGGCTGTTGCACATTCTTCACCCTTGCCACACAAAATCATAGGAGTCCCTGGTTATATCAAGGTCACCAGCCCTCTTCGTCGATTTTCTGATATGATTGCACATTGGCAAATCGAAGCCGCTGTGCGATGGGAGACACAGTCCGGTAGGAAGTTCGATGGAACCCAGGCTTCCAGCTACAAAGCTCTTCCATTCTCGCAACGACAAATGCAGGAATCTATTGTAACTCTATCACCTCGGGAACGGATCATTACCCTAGCCAAGCGTCACTCAACGCGATTTTGGGTCGCTCAGGCGATTCACCGTGCCCTCAAATACAAAGAGGCTGCCCTTCCCGATTCCTTCAAGTTCTGGGCTCGTCGCGTTCGCCCAGGCCGGTACGCCCTTGGCGATATACCTGAATACGGTCTTCAAGCTGTCCTGAGCGGTGACTATAAAGAAGGTGACGAGTGGGAAGTAGCGCTAGATAGGGTCGACCTTTTTACGAGGTTGATCTATGTCAAGCCGATTCGCCTCCTTGATCGAGTCCCCGATGCGCTTTGAGTGAGCATGGAGTCAAAATTATGGTGTAAGTTCATCATGCAGGGACTTCGATTCTATCGATAAGCATCATACTTCCTTCCGAGCAGACTGTATGTCTGACAGGCAAATAGCTTGGCGTCCCGCAGTGGCGTGAGGAGGCGTTTTTGTACTACAGCGCGGGACGGGCGCTCCGTCATTGTAGATCGCTCTCAATCACGTACCCGAACCCAAATTGCCAGCCTCACATTCAAAACCATGGTGTGCTGCGAAACGATCATGATAGCGCGCAGCAATCACGTCCGAAGCAATGGAAATTGGCCAAGGGAGGCTAGAGCGACAGAGGCGTCCCAGCACGCGCATCTGCAAGCCACTCCAAGCCACTGATGCATTTGCTACGAACAGCCAGCATTCGTGTAGATCTGTGGTGTCAAGATCGTGTTCTCCGCTCGGTTATGGAGATGAGGAAGCAACACGGCAAGCAACCCGGTTCGTCGTGCATGCGCGTGCGCTTGAGGAGACCCAGAGGCTCGGGCCGTCAAAAGGTGCGTCAGATCTGTGTGCCGTGTCAAGCTTCCTGTAATGCCCCGACGGTCCCTTCAACCCGCTTGGCGATATCTTTTGTACAACAGCGCCTCAACGTTTGATGAGGACTAGCGTCAGCGCAATGCAACACCACCAATCCGGTAGTCCAAACTTCGGTGAAAGCCCAGCATATCTATCACTAGCGTTCATCTTTCTTCCAATGACTCGCGGACATCCAATTCAAGAATGAGGCTCCAGTTTCTCGTTTACTTATCACGGCAGTTGGCCTTAGATGATGCCTGTCATTTCGTCCCTACATAATGGTACCCCGGAGCTTCTATCATCAAAGGTCCAACAGCCTATCGAATCCCCAGTCCATGTCTATGGGATCACTTGTTATACTCAATCAACAGCCAATTGTCCTTGTATCGCTTCTCACCCAGTATTCGCCATTACGAAACACAACTTAGCCGAGTGATCCGATTCTACCATGGCTGAAAGTGTAGGCGCGCATATACATATCGCGCAAGACGAGGCCTCGACCTTGGTCGAGTCCAACCGGAAGAAGCAACAGGCTCAACAGCCGCGCCAACTGCTCTCATGTACAAAATGCAGAGAGCGAAAGGTCAAGGTCAGTCATATCCATCGATTCGCATTACAGGTTGCGATGTGTGAGATGCCGACAGTATCCTCGCGCTGCGCTTTGACTGCATATTGAGCTAACGTAGCATAGTGTGATCGCACAAAACCATGCTCGGCATGTTGTGCTCGTGGCTCTCCACGCGACTGCCACTTCATTGCAGAAGATGGCAATTACGCCCCAATCCAACAGAGTTATGAGCTTCGTAAACTGCGCGCAGAGAATTTACGTCTTAAAGAAAGGCTGCGCGCCTACAAGATCTCAGCAGATGATGACCTGGATCAGATGGATTCTTTGGACTCACCTCTTAATGAAGGTGCTGTTTCGTCGAGACGGCGAGCTGTGAAGCAGAAACGTTTCCAGACTTCCGAGTGGCAGGATAGCATCTACTTCGGCTCGCCTGGACTAGCTACTGTCCTCAGTGATGTATGTATACTCTTGCACACCTTAAGCACCAATCTAACATCACAAGTTCCCCTCAGCGGATGCTAGCGTTCTGCCATTGTCGTATACAATACCCCGAGCCTCGGATATGTTTCGCAGTCTGCCAACGTATCCCTTCCCGACTCTCTTCGTTGCTGCACCCGATGAATGTATCCCACAGCTAATTAGCTGCCTACCCATGAAGGATGAGCTTATGGAGTACTTTGGAGTATTCCAGCGGCTTGTCTGCCCAGTGCCTGTGCAAACGACGAAAAAGGAGATTGAGGCTTTCCTTTCCGACGCACGAAAGAACTCCCAACTCTATCCAACTACTTTGGCATTACTTTTCGGATTCATCGCGCTTGGCGCACAGCATTCAGTCTGGGACAAAAGTGGAGGACGATGGAACGCTGACGCCATCGAAATCGAGACTCAGAAGGGTAACGTCTACAGTAGGTGTATGCGAGGCTATTGGAGTTCAAGCTAACGCTCTTGGTCCAGTTGCAGCAGCGATGCAAGCTTTACGCCTGTCGTCATTTACACACAAACCGTCTCTCTCTGCAATCCAGACGCTCCTCATGATTGGGAGTTATCTAACCAACAACGGAAGGATGCTGGATTCGTTCGCGTTGTTCGGTACTACGATTCGCCTTGCCCACTCGATTGGCCTTCATCGTCACCCGAAGTATCTAAATCCTGCCCCTACGAATGAGAAGGACTGCGTTATACGGCAGAAGGTCTGGTGGCACATGCTCCACCTGGATGAACAAATGTCTATGACCCTTGGGAGACCTCTAGGAATAAGCGGCATCGGGGACAATCCCTGGCCGACCGAGTTGACGACTGACCCGGTCTCGTTACGATTCGGCGAATTCGTTAACCACTTCACGATACTGGCCAGACAGATAATGAGTAGCAACCGCTTGACAAATGCCAGGATTGACGAGTACACCGACATACTCCGAAGATTGTTGGATACTATACCTGAAACGCTTCAATTTCGTGACACGTGGATGCTCCCTGAGACGACTCTGCCGGATTTATATGCCGTAGCCACTGGTACGTCTCAACAATCTTTTGCCTGTATTTTGGTCCTCGTGCTCAACGGGTACGATCTTGTCATAGGTACCTACACCTTAGATTGGGAGTATTGGACATAACCCCGAATAGCGAAACCATTGGCGGCTTTTCTCTTGCGACTCCTTCTACGGTCTAAAGAAGACATCATCTGATGTATGCGTTCGCTCACATGATGCAGTATACTTTTCCAATGCTCATACTTACATCGTCCTTCTGAACCAGCAGAAAACCGAGAAGCATGCCACTTCTGCCACAATCTCAACTGGCAAGGATGACGTATTACCATTCCAGGCTGTCCACCACGCGTCCTCCTTGGACTTTTCACACGAGACATACTCAACACAAGCTGCACCTCGCGGAAGGACGCTGGTACTTGCTTCATCGGAAGCTCTGATTTCTGCCTTCATGTTCTTCCATTACAGAGACCCAGCTGCGCTAATCGATTGGGCGACCGCACAACAGGCCTTCAATGGATGCATGATCCTTCTCTTGGATGCATTAGAATGCCGAACCGTTACCACTGGTGCATTCAAAGCGGAACAAGCCTTTGTTGTCTTCAAGAACCTGTACGAGAACAGTGTCCACGAGCTTGCAGGGTTGGCTGTAGAGAAGCTGAGTCTTTGCTTGCAAGAGTTGCACAGGCTAGTAACACTGCCGTCCGACGTCCAATCGCGTGGACAGAGGCATACGGCTATGCAAGGGCCGCAGCACAACGAAGCAACACGAGCTTCGGTTGTGACTGACACAGTGATGGGCCAAACTGGCATGTTTCTACTCGAGGACATGAGCCAGCAAACTGCCGCGAACGAAGTCTTTTCCCCGATGGCTTGGAACAATCCCGATATTGCCACCCAAGCCGAAGAACATCGTCATGCAGGTTTACATCGCGGAGGCACATATAAGAAAGTAGCAACATCACCCAAGGATCATGTCGCCAACGCTCGATACACAGACGGCATGCAGGGCTTGCGCAGATCGAACACGTTGCGATCAGCGTCCACACGATACGCGACTCTGTCTGAGGACGATCACATGCAGCCACATGGTTACACTGCTCCAACCTCGCCTGCAGACTTTTCAGCGCTGCATGATCATCAGCTGAAGAACACGATAGATCATCGTGGGTGGCAAAAGTCCCGAGGAGATGAGAGTAGCCGTCCGCTTCACTTATATACCCACTTCCAGAAACTCGCAGCATCAGGAGACCCGCAGCAAGATATGGTTTGGCATCATGATTGGAGTTATGATGTATCGGGTGAAATTCAGGAGCGCAGGTCCCAATCCTCCGCATGGCCACAAAGGCATAACTCATGTCCCGCCGTACCTCCAGTCAGTGCTCATCCGCCGATTCTCAGACCGGCTTTCTCCTCACCGGATGACATCGACCGGCCTACCATGGAGCGAAGATCACTAAACACGCCCATCACCTCAGCCGAGCACACATCTTTCAACGTATCAGAGAGCTTCTCCCGGGTTGTAGAGACGAACCCGCGCGCCCCCTTCACTCCTCACCGCGCAGCACCGTTACAAATGTCAAGCATTGCTGAGGCCACACCTGGCTTTTCACCGACCGTTCTAGGAGGGTTCTATGGACAGCAAGGGCAGATTAGATCACAGGTCGTGACATATCCATCAACTATCGCTGCGTCGTCATCACTCACGCCTATGACAGAGAACATGAATATGAACGACTGGAATAGATACGCGGGTAGCGAAGGCTTGGACTAGGGAAGCATTGGTTGTTACAAAGCTGCCTTGACTAGATTGCGAAGGGTTCACTTGTGGATGGATTGTATATTTGGTATCGGAACGAAGCATCTCAGACCAGTATCGTGGCGAGTCAGAATGGAATGCCCCGCCAAGACTGTTGATATTGTCCTCAAGTTTTCCCCATTTCCTTCTTCAGCTTAGGAGCTTACCCGGAATCTCGGTTCAGATCGCATCTAAACGCGAAGCCACTTAGAGTTATTTGTCACAAGCGACCCCATAGTCTGGGTTAGGCGGCTCCTACTAACATTCGCTGGATACCGCGCGAGGTTGGATGTACGACTAGCTAGCACTAAAAACGCATATACAAAGTACATGTTATTTTTCTAAATAAATTAAGAAGAATATATAAGTAGTTATTTTACTAAAGTATATAAAAATAGAAGTTATTTATATATTTTTTTTTATATTTTCTTTATCTACTTATACTTTTACCTTTACTATTATATTAACTTATTTTACTTTTCTTTTTTTAGTAGAGTTTTTAAATAAGTAAAGTAAGAACTTCTAAATATAGTAGCTTAGTTACTATACTATAAAACTTTAGTTAAGTAGTATTTTTAGGTATAACTATTTATAAAAATACTATATAGCTTTATTATAGTAGATACTAAAAGTATTATAGTTATTATTTAAGCTAGTTATATAAGTATATAAGTTTACTAAAAAATAGTATACTTATAAGTTTTATGTTAAGCTATTATTTAAAAAAAAGAGATACTCTACGCTAAACTAAGTAATAAAGATATTAATCTTATTACTAAGTTTATACTATAGTTTTAGCTTACTTACTATATTTTTTATTAAAATAGTTTTTATATTCTTACTTACACTATATATAAGTATAATTAGTTTATAAAAATATTTCTATATAAGCTTACTAATTTAGATTCTAGTATAATTAGATTATATAAGCTTAATAATATTATACTATATAAGTATTATAAATAGCTACTAGATATAACTTATTCTAATTTAGCTATCTAAAGACTTTATATAGCTATATTAAAAAATAAATATCTCTCTACTACTATCTACGCTATAATAACTAGCTATATTAGTAAGCTTCTTAGTATATAAAAAAGTATATATATCTATCTTATAATATTATAGATACGCTTTAACTACTAGATAGAGATATAGTAGTAGAAGGTTTAGTATTATAGTAAAAGAGCTCTTTCTACTCTTCTTAGTAGTTTTATAACCTCTACTTAACCTATTACTATAATTATTTTCTACTTTTCTTTTTTTATATAGTAGTTTTTTACTAAGCTTAGAAAAGTAATAGTAAGCTAGTTACTTAAGAGCGCCTGTATAAGTTTTATTAAAATCTTTAGATAGAATTTTATAAAAAGCTATAATTATTTAGTATAGTTAGCTTACTAATATAAAGGTATCTAGATATTATAGATACTTACGCTATAGTTACTAAAGAACACTTTAAGTACCTACTTTACTTCTATAGTTAATAGTATTATAATAATAGAGAAGAAAGAAAAGAAGAGAAAGTAGTAAGCTTCTAAGATAAGCTTATAATTACTATCTATTAAGATAGTTATTTATATTACTAGCTAGTAAAAAAGATATTTAATCTAGAGTTAATATATATAAAAGTAATTAATAGTAAACTTTATAAGAATCTATAGAGTATATATAGTCTCTATAACTTTACTATTAGATTCTAATTATATATAGATATATATAGCTTATTAAAGCTTAAGTCTTAGTTATATTAGATATTTATAAGTCTTAAAAAGATATTATAGCTAGTAGTAAACGCTTAGAGTCTTAAAAAAGATCTTAGAGCTACTTAGGTAAGTTTTATAATATATACTCTAATATATAACTTTACTACTAGTATATTTTAGCTTACTACTTTATTTTATAAAGAATAAAAAAGTACGCCTTTTACTTATACTATAGTCTAGTCTTAGTAGAGCTAAGTTATTAAGATTATACTTTAGTATATAGTATAATTATAATAGCTTTAATATTATTTACTAAAGTATATAGTATATTACTATAGTACTATAGTTATTCTTAGAGCGCTTTATTCTATAAGATATTTTTAAGTATTTAGAGTCTTATAAAAAGTCTTAGAGCTTACCTATCTAAGTAGATTTTATACTATATATACTAAGAGAAATAGCTTTAATATAACTAAGACTATACTTTTATAGAAGTTAAAGGTATATTTCTTTCTTTATAATAAGATATCTTACTACTAGATCTTACTATATAAAGATATAGATTTCTAGAATTCTATTTTTATATTAAATCTTTTTCTATTTATCTACTTATAATATTAGTAATTATTATACTATTATTAAAGCTAACTATAATATCTTCTAATTACTTTCTCTAGTTCTCTATATATATACTTAAGTAGTCTACTAATATTAATCTTAACTAGCCTAATAACGTTAAAACTAATTAGCGTATTAATATTAAACTTAACTAGCTTTCTAATATTAAATATTATCTATCTACTAATATAAAGCCTAATAAGCTAATAGATATTAAACTTAACTAGCCTACTAATATTAGTACTACGTTACCTTAGGTATAAGAGACCTAGTATAAGATACATAATTATATTAGTAATTACTTTAATAATCTACTTATAAACCTTTTATATATTTAGCTATAGAGTAGCGCTAGTATAGTATTTATATTTAAAGCTTTCTTCTATTTAGTTACGTATAAGAGTATCTTTTAGCTTATTAATAAAGCTATAATCTAAATTATTAATAGTTATAATTACGTATTATTAGAAGTAGTTATATAGATAAAAGTTATTTATTATTAGCTACTATATAGTGTTTAGTTTATTATAGTATATTTACTATAGCGTAGAATCTATTAAGAGTAGCTATTCTCTATTTTATTACTTACTTATCTTCTCTTTTACTTCTACTAGTATATATAAATATAATACTACGTTTATTTATTTATAATTACTTATTACTCTATATTCTATATATAGTAAGAGCTATAGATATAGACTAATATATATAATAGTAAATTTAACTCTTTTATAATAACTCTATATAATATATTACTATAAATTCTTACTAATCTTAGACTAAATAGTAATATAAATTCTAGTCTAATTTTATCTTCTATTACTACGTCTATATATATTATAATAGTTTAGTTCTCTAGGCGTTAGGCCTACCTTAGGCTAACAGCCTACACTATATATATTTACCTCTAAGTACTTTTTCTAAGCCTTACTGTAATAATATTATAATTTAATATAATATTATTATCTAATCTTTATATAACTCTTATACGTTATTATAGTTCTCTAACTCTCTAATAGTAACTTAGTAAAGCTTAGCTAGTTACTTCTAATAAGACCTGCATTAATTACAACTATATTACTAATCTTCTAGTTTCTAGTTAGTAACGCTTCTATTAAAGACGTCTTTTGTGTTCTCTTCTGCAACACTAGCTCTAGTTAGGTTATAGTAAGTAATAAGACCTATTATATAGCTACCTTAGGCGCTGCTACTCTCTTATTTACTAAACTAACTACTACCTCTACTACGCGTAGTTAGCGCAGCAACTAATAGTAGTTCTAGTTCTTATACTTTACTACGTAGAAACTAGACTCTCTTACTACTATAGCTTATAGTTCTTAGAACTCTTATTAGGCTCTTCTACACTCTTACAGCTTCTCTAACCTACATAATAGTAGTTTCTCTATTATTCTTAGCTTCTTCTAGAATAGCTTCTAGTACGTCTCTTCTATAGAAGGTAGTTACCTTACTAACTCTAAGAATAATAACGCTAACCTTACTAAGATTTATTACTCTATTAGTAACTGTAATAACAACTATAACTGTAGTAACTTAATTAAGCTTTTAATAAGTAATATTAAGTCTATTAGCTTCTCTAATAAGTTGCTTAACATTACTAAGACTTATAGTAGTAAGAGGTAGCCTTACTACTTCTCTCTTAGCAACCTACTTAGCTACGTTACCTATAGTAGCGCCTACTACCTAGATCTCTTTAACTTTTTATTTAAATAGTGCACTCTTTATTGCAACGCTAACTAAGACGCTAATTATAATACTAACTATAAGAATAGCTGCGCTGCTACTTATAACTTACTATATAAAGTAATATTAGGTTTCTCTAAGGCCTCTTTAAATCTTTAGTTACTATAAAAGCTAGTTATAATACTAACTACTTAATAACTCTCTTCTTCTCTAGAATAAGAGTCTATTACCTATTATATTATATTCTACGTACCTACTAACCGCAAGATTACTAGCTACGTTATTTTTAAGCCTAATCTCTTTTAAAGTAGCTAACTAATCTTATTAGCCTATAAAGTAAATGCCTAAAGTTAAGCTAAATATATTAGTAAGTTTAATAAGACTCTTTTTAAAGATAGTCTAGTCTATACTATATTCTAAGATAGTGTAAAGCTCTATAAGCTTCTTTTTAATACTATCTAATACTTTAATAATAACCTTACTATATACATTAGTTACTTAAAGAAGACTTAGAAAGATCTTACTAATAAACGTAATACTATCTATAGCCTACGTCTTTAAGTTACTAAAACTAATAAGGCTCTAGAGGCTATCTAATAGTAGCTACTTAACTCTAATAGTAAGCTTATATATCTATAAGAAGAGATCTACCTAATAAAAAGTAACGCCTACGTCTCTAGAGTTTAACTTAAAGAGTATTATGTTACTACTAAATAATAGATTACCTATATATATAAGTGTAAAGATGTTTATAAAAAGATATATAAGAAAGAGTATACTACCTACTTTAAAGTATTAGAGAAGGTCTTCTATCTTTAAAAGCTTATTAAGAAGACTTCTCTAGCCTTTCTACTAAATAACTCTAATAGCTCTAACTTAGATAAGTCTAATAACTTAGCTAGCGCTTTACGCCTAAGCTACTATAGACGTACTACTAACTACTTTAACTATACT